ACCTTCTTGATATGAGTTTATAGTTGTTATCTAGACTTTCCCACTTATAACTCAAAGTGAACAGATGAATCCTCTAATTTGTTTGTTTGGGTGGCCAGAATACCAGAATAAAGTTCTGCCTTATAAATTCAGAGTCTTTGCAGGCCTGCTGACAGCATAGAGTAGGCTGCAGTAGGAGAGGGAGTTGCTTTGAGAGCTAACACACAGCAGTGGCTGTTATCTGCAGCCTAGAATCTCTGTAGGCTGCTTGGATGTGGGTGTGTCTATGGTATATTTGGAATCAGTAGCCTTCCTTGGGGTGGGGAATTAGCTCCTATAGAGAGGTGTTAGCTTCCTCACAAGTTAGCCCTGGTTGAAATCGCCCTCAATGTTTACAATACATCCAGGTTGGGTTTTTTTGTTGTTTTGTTTTGTTTTGGACAGTGAGATCATACAGGCTTTCAGGTTCGTTTTTTGTTCTCCTCCCCCACCTTTTCTTTTCTTTTCTTTTCTTTTTTTTGGGGGTCTTTCATGGGTCTGAAACTCTGGGCCTGGGTGCTGTCCCTGAGCTCTTCCGCTCAGGGAGAGTGCTCTACCACTTGAGCCACAGTGCCACTTCTGGTTTTCTCATGGTTTGTTGGAGATAAGGGTTTCATGGGTGTTCCTGCCTGGGCTGGCTTTGAATCACAGTCCTCAGATCAACAGGGGAGCCACCAGCATTGGGCTGAGGCTTTCAGTTTGGTAATTCTATGGTGCTCAGCTGGCCTGAAGCCAGGCTGCAATATGTCTGGAATGCTAAGCTTGCCCTTGCTCACTTCTGAGGGGCAGGCCTGCCTCCCCCAGGGTGGGCCTTTTGTTTTCACCAAAAAGGAGTTGTGCAAGGGAATCACAGTCCTTTGCCCTTTTCAAATGGTTCAGGCCAGGTGGTCCACTGGCAGGCTAGTTGCCAATTTCAGAAATGGCATTATATGGGGCTAGGAGTAGTCGTTCCCTTCCAGATGCTGTTCTCTGGGAAGAGGCAGGTCTTGTGAGGGGTACTCATACTTTCCCTTGGTGTTTCAGCCTGTCCAGCATCTGATGAGTTTTCCCCGTATCCCAGTATGGCCAAGTGAACTGGGGCTCCCTTTCCAGGTCTTTAAGTTCCTGCTGGAGGTACGTGGGAGCCTTGAGGGCTCAGCCACCACCACTACTGCTGCCGTGACTGCTGGCACCACTGCCACAACCACTACTGGTGGGTGTTTCAGTCTGTCTGCTTAACCAGGAAGTGTATAATTTTCTTGAGTATACATCTCTGAATCATTATACCTAACTTAGTATGACTGTCCACATGTGAAAAGCCAAATGGGTGTCCAAAAGTCTGCTTCTTCAGAGAGCTTAGTTAGTTCTCTCTTATCTACCCACCATCTTTTCCAAATTTTGACTCTGACTTTTTCTATCAATTTATTCAGTTGTAAAATCTTTGTAACGATGACTACTAGGGAAAATGAAGTACATTCACAAGTGTGAAAGTAGGGAGTGGCTGGTGGGCCATGTTTGTCATCCTAAGAAGGCTGAGACCTGAGGATCATGGTGGAAGTAGATGTGGCTCAAGTGGTTGGGGGCTAACCTTGAGAGAAAAAGCTAAGGACGAGCCCCCATTCCTTACTTCAATCCAAGAACTGGTACAAAACAATAAAATAAAGAACACATTTGGTTTCTTTCTGCATATGCACTATTATGCCTCTGAATTATGTACATTCCAATGGTGAGTATGATGAGTTATATCACAAGAAGTGATTTTTTTTATGGTTCTAGGGCTTGAACTCAGAACCTGGGCACTCTGAGCTTTTGCTCAAGGCTAGGTCTCAGCCACTTCAGCCACAGCTCCTCTTTTGGCTTTTTACAGGTTAATTGGAAGTAAGTGTCTCCCAGACAATTCCTGCACAGGCTGTCTTGAAGAAAAATTCTCAGTCTTCAGCCTCTAGGGTAGCTAGGATTACAGGCATGAGCCCTAGGATTACAGGCATGAGCCCACAGCGTCTAGCTCAAGAAATGGTTTCAAACACAGTTTAGTGTTTTCCTACAATGATCCTCCATACTATGTCCCTCTCCTATTCTCCTTTCCTATCCTCTCTAGTCCCCATCACCCAGTCTCTCTCCAGCGCTGCCGCTTGTGAGCACAGAATTTGAACACAGGCCCCTGCAGCTTGAGTGCAAGGACTGTGCATGTGCAAATGCGTCTCTCCCTGGGACTCTCCTAGAATGGACTCCAGCAAAAGAGATTGCTGGTGCTCTTCCTTTGCTGGGAATGGTTTAGTAAGTTTTGGGTTTTTTTTTGTTGTTTGTTTCTTTTTGGTCAGTCGTGGGGCTTGAACTCGGGGCTTAGGCCCTGTCCCACAACTTTTCAGATCAAGGCGAGCGCTCTACCACTTGAGCCACAGTGCCACTTCCTGGGAATGGCTTAGGAAAGCAGCACCTGCAAGAAAGAGCTGTGTGGGACATGGCCCCACGTTTAGTGTTTAAACCACTTCATATGATTGATCTTGTCTACCCATAACCTATGGAATTTCAGTAGGGAAAGCCAGATTGGAAGCCCCAGAGTGCTTGAAATCTCAGGAATTCAGTCTCAAGCCTCCACTGGAGGCCTTGACTTTTGCATTTAATGTGATCCCAGCCCATTGCTGAACATCACTGATCAAATG